TCAAACGAGATATTCTATACACTGGAAACGTAGAGTACATTTTACTTTGTCTTTGTCTTTGTCTCAAGCAAAAAAAGTATAAAGATTAAACAGGCATTCAAAAATATACAACAACCACGAACATCTCGTAATATTTCTTCGGGGAAATCTTCAAGTTTCAATCAGAGAGTTTCAATCGAAATCTGGCGCATGCGCAACAAATTTCCATTGAAACTTGAAGATTTGCCCGAAGAAATATTACGAGATGTTCGTGGTTGTTGTATATTTTTGAATGCCTGTTTAATCTTTATAATTTTTTTGCTTGAGACAAAGACAAAGACAAAGTAAAATGTACTCTACGTTTCCAGTGTATAGAATATCTCGTTTGAACAGCGATAGAATATTATAATCTTGACACAAACAAGAAGACATTTGACACGCTATAAAATCTGCAGTCATGCCTGAGCTGAGGTATATATAAAAAGTCAATCGTCGCGAGCTTGACAGCCTTGTCAAACAGAAAGAAGTTCAATGTTAATACAACTAACATATATACTATACAAATACGGGTGGTTTAAAATGTTTTCAATTGAATTTTCAAAGCTTTTATCTATCGCTATGATAATCAAACTGTGAAAATGCCGCAGTTTTGTTGACGCTTGCGAATGCAAAATAACTTCCCGTAAACAGAGCATTTCTACACAAAACTCTCGCTTAGCTCAAGAAACACTGGTAAATTATCGTTGTCAAAAAACATTTCAGTGCTGAGGCAGTAGAAGGTCTCAAGGCCAAGGTCAAGTTGTCGATTTCATTACATTTTACAGTACTTCGAATGTTTTCGAACTCTTGCTTCATACAAGAGCAGTAAACGCACGCATTTCAAAGCGAAATTAGACGTAAAGGGGCAATTTTTCAACAACATTTATTGTTAAATTCTGTTTCCTATGTGCCTTGGGAGCAAAAAAATATGATTTTAAATTTGGAGGAATCGGTAAATTTTTTTGCAATTTGGCCTGGCATTGCACCCTACCTATGTAATGACTGTGCTGTAAAAATAATCAAATATACTATTTTGAATTTCCCTTCATTGAAAGGATCTACTTTTGTGGACTAAACTAAATTTTAATCAGCATTCAAGGCTGCAAACAACAGCCAAGAATTAGCTGGGTAGTTTGCAAACTTTAAAGGGGAAGTCAAGTCCGTTCTGCGCATCGGTTCTGCGCATAACAATAGAGGGCCCTCTGAGGTAAACATTGCCCAAATTTTGAATGTTTCGAATTTTTCTGAACACAAACTCTATTTCATATTCATGTAGAAGCATAACGAACCAAAATGGTGTTAGATATTCAGACAGTACATCATATTTTAAAAAATACAGCAGTTCAAAATGTAAACAAACCGTTTGTTTACATTACGGACTTGACTTCCCCTTTAAAAATAATTGCATCTCAAACTTTGATCCCCAAAAGTAAACAAATGGCCAATACTGCGAACATAATCCAAGTTTTGACCACTAGGGGCAATTTTTCGATGTAAAAAAACTTGTTTAAATTACATATCAAACAAAGGCAAAACAAAATTTGGTATTAATTTTTTGGAGGAATCGTCAAGGTTTTTTGCTATCTGCCCACGCTTCTACACCCCCTCCCCCAGCATAGAATAGAAGGGCAACTCACGTGTGCAACGCGTCCGTAAATTTTTATGCGCATGCGTGAGGTCCGCCATTACTCTGGCCAGTAACTGGCTGCTGGCGTACTATAGAATATATAGCGAAAGAAGATATTTTGGCTGGAAAATCGCGTTTTTTGACCATGTTTATCAACGAATGTGGGAATTTTGTACAGAAATCGAAATATATAAGGTAAGACATAACGACTGGGCCGTCTACAGGAATTTAGATACTTTTCTCGAGCAAAAATCACATTTTATACAACAATGTTTACATGCAGCGATACAATTATATTTTGTGTGAAGTTTATATGAATATGAACACTCATCTGAGTCAATTGGCTATCCTCTTCCTAATATTTCTTAGCATTTCTTATCATTATTGTCATAAAATAACTGATAACCATTTGTATTTCGGAAAGACATTGAGGTTTTATTTATTAATTTGTGTTTTGACTCGAACACGGCCGCTATGCCACTTTACTTTTGAACATAAATAGTCGATGTCGTGGATAAGAAATTATTTGTAAAAAGCAAAAACAATCATGTTACTATGATAAAAGACATTTGCTGAGCGAAATAGTGCTTTAATAGTAAAACTGCATGTCGATCCAGATCCTAATGAAGAATGATTTCTGTTTCGTTCTTATATGCAGTGATTACTTTAGGTTCAAATTATAAATTAGGTTTCATGGAGTTACCAGGAATTTTGAGATGCATTTTTTGTAAAGTGTCAATATTTGCAAGGTTTATATTTGATTGCTGCCCTACTACATGGGTTTTTAAATTTTATTTAAATTTGTTTACTTGTCACCTACAGCTGCTGACCTTGCTATCACTTTGTTTTCTTTTTAGTTTCATTGCAGCTGATCATCCTGTTTGCTTCTTTCATCTCAATACCCATTGTCAATACCATATTGCTCATTGATTTATGTATGAATAGCATTAATATAATAAACATAGCAATTGTATAACAGCTATAATAACTAAATGTATCATAATATAATATTTGTGGTGTTACTCTGAGTGTACTGTATATCCACACCGGGCGAGCTTGAAAAATATGCCCGGCCACGGTGGGATTCGAACCTACGACCTTCGGAATACTAGCCCAATGCTTTTCATTCAAGTAAGTGATATTTCGGAACAGAATCTAGTTCCTTCGATACCAATGTATTCTACCACAATATTCACCACATATTCACCACATCACACCACATATTCTACCACATATTCACCTGAGTACACTACACCAACACAGAATGGTATCATATTTTTAAAACTTAGTAAATGAATGGACTATTTTTGTATAGTATTAAATGAAATAACATTTGAATATGAGAAGATACAATTGATTTGTGACTTGTGTTCATGATTTTAATATTTACAGTGTGCATTTTGTGTCCTAAATAAAAATGATACATACAGTGGTGTACACAATTTGGTCTGAAAACTGCACTTAAATGTCATAATATATATCATGGTGATGCCCCCACTTGCAATACAGTGTGTATATATTTACTTTAAAACCTCAGGTTCACCAACTTAATTAACTGAGGGTTCAACCTGGAATCCAGGATTCCTATAACCACCTGAAACACCTGCATTTAAAGGGCTTGTTCCTGTCACATGCGTTTCTTCTGCGATAGTTCAAAGTATTTCCAGTGCTTTTCTGCTCATTACAAGTGTTTTTAAAATATGAGTAGTAGTAAAACAAAGCAGAAAGGGGGTAGCAGGACATACTGCTCGGCAGTTAATTGCTCAAATACCAAAGGATCGCATCCTGAACTAAGTTTTTTTCGCTTCCCGGCTATATATAGCAAAAGGTAGGTCCACGGTTTCCATAAAGACAGATGAAAAAATTTGAATGTTTTCCGCTGCTTTGTATATCGATAAGAAACATACTAGAAGTTACTATCGCAAGGCAAGTGCTGCCTTAAATGCATTATACACACTGTATGAATGAATTTATTTTGTTCAAAAAAGTATTGAAATTACAAGATGCAATAATTACTACATACTGTAAAGTGTACTTCGGAATTTTATATTTATACAATGTCAATAAAAATCACTTAATTAGTCTCCACTTATGAAAATAATTGGGCAGAACATAATTAGGAAGAAAGTAATTAGGAAGAACAAATAGATGCCCTACTCCTACCTCCTGTGCAGGCCTTCCAAGAAAAGTGGTGGGAAACAAAAAAGCCTTAGTCTCAAATTTCAACCTGTGAACGGGCATACTCATTACGAGCTGTATGGCCTGCGGAGGAGGTAGATAGACTTCTTTTAACATGGTATGTTTAAGTTTGTTGCAAGTAATGACAGCCTTTTGTTTGTGTTCATTTGGTAAACAAGCGTTACCATTGTTTTCTGCCCAATACGTAAATTATCGTATTCATTCAGTGCTCATAGTGTCTATTGTTGGCCATCATTTTTGTCCAATAACTTGTTAGGTTGCTGTACATATACAGGTTTGTAATATCATGACATACAATGTTCCTCACATCCATATGGTAGAGTGGAAACAAATACAGTAATTTAATAATACATGGCAGATTCCATCCCGACCCATTGCATTAGATGTAATATATCCATACAATCTTGTAAATCAGAATTCTTGTTTTAATAAAAATACATTTTGATCAATTTTCTGTTTACACAAAGTGCCCTGGTGTTGGAGCCAACATTTTGACGATGATCAAAGCCATTCCCATCACCTTCCAATGGCAATGTGAGTGCGAATATACTCCAGCATAAAATTTGCCAACAGAGACTTAGCCACATCTAAACCAAAGGATAGAAAATCACACATCTTTAAATAACACCAAGGCCACACATCTTTAAATAATATACTGGACATGTGTTAACGCTGCTCTGGTTTACAAGACTAAATATAGCCTTAATGGCTTAATTAAATGACTAAAGTTACTGTTCGCGAGCCAAACATTTAGACACTCTTATTAATAGTTTAGGATATTGAGGCGCAATAAGGATGTCCATTTATGATTTGTTATTCAATCACTGCTAAAGATAGACAGAAAACATCGAAACTTAAAACTATATTAAAACTACTGTCTGTGCTATTGTACGGATAGGCGATAGCTACTGGGTTCGGTTCTCCATGAACAATATCGAAGAAAAAATGCGCCTACGAGCATTTACTTTGACTTTTAAATAAATAAATTGAAACTACATACCTTCTCCTTGAATGCTCTGGTCATTAAAACCAAAATTTTGAACATAAACTCCCACGGTATGCTTTTAAAACGAAAATATAACCCTCGCTCAATACAATTTATATTTATTCTGGCAGCAAGTTACTGTCCAGAGTAATGGCGGCCGTCGAATTTCCGGTATGCGCGACACGACATGCGCGAGGACACCGACTTCAAAGGATCCGACACTCAGTTGCCCTTCTATTCATTTCTTATTCTATGCTTCTGGTCTATTTTCTATTCTGTGATTTTAATGGCGGAATAATAGATTTTTCGGTTTTCAATCCACAATATATTTCAACCATCCTATGGTTATACTTGCTCATTTTAACTTTTTTACACTAAAATTGCACCAAAGGAATGTTTATTATCGTCATTTGTTGCTATTTATCACTTCCGAAGGTAAGGACGTGAACAAATGCGGCATAATTGTCGTTGAGAGGACAAACGTATAAAATATTAATAGCCGCATTGCATGTGATCGAAGCTTTATAAATAAAATACATATTCTCACCGACTGAATACACGTTAAGAAAAATACCAGAATCAGATAGTCATTATCAGTGAATGAGTAAAATACAATATAAATTAAAGGACGTTATTTATATATTATCTCAACAATTGAATACATGAGACTGTATATGCTCTAGAAACTCAAAACAGCTTACTATATACTCTAAAAGCAGCTTACCTTAATACTGAAGAAACTTCTTCGAAGCTTGAAATTTGCAATTTTTGCGGCGAAACTTTTATTCCAACAAAAAGAAAGCCGCACGATAGAAATAGAAACGATATATAAAATATAATGTTTCAAACCATTTATCGGAAAGAGTTCGGAAACTTTCGTAGATGCGCGGGCTATAACGTACCCTAACCAGTGAACTCTAAACGTCCACTGCAATCATAGAGCAATACGCACATACATCTAAACCTCTTAAAATTAAAGTGCCTATGACACGAAATTTCACCCCAAATGTTTATTATTGCATTGTAAAGATCACTTAAAATGACTTAATAATTTCTTTTATAGAATTTTGGTAACTTGCTTCCTTTGCAAGATATTCAACTCTGTTTCATATGCAAATATCACCGGTGTGACATCACATCGCATAATGACATTTTGAAAACGCAATATTTTACCTTGATAAAATATGTTTACAAACAAATACAAAGGATGAATTACCAGTTATGAAATTAATACATATACAAGGGCAATTCAAGGGCAATTTTTAAGTTTTTTTAGATACGTCACAAAAACTTTTTTTGATATTTGGTAGAGGACAAAAAGTTAGTTAATAGGTTCTTTAACATTTTTCGGTTTTCTCTTTTCATTCGCGAGATATGAGGTTCTAAACCTTGAAAAATTGGCTTTTAGCGAAAAATTGTCGCGCCCGAGAAAAAAACGGAAAAGGGTCTGGGGCGAGAGCCGTGTGACGTAGCTTAAGGGACGGAAGTTCGAATTCACATGTGAAGGAGTACTAAAAAGCTATTGGGAAAACATATATTTTCCAGCACTCATGGTTCTCAATGTGACTCAGAATACAATTATATTCCTGCAATTTCCTGGGTATATATACAGGATGAATCAAATGATACCAGTCACGAAATTGGAACTGTCGAAGCAGTTGATAGCGAAATTTTAGGCGATTATGATGCATATTGCCTTTATGCCAGTGGAGCCGCTAGCAAGCCAAGAATGCTACGCGCAACATCTAAAACCATGCGCAACACAAGGAACAAAACGAGATGCTAGAACGAAGATTAGACGGCCTTGAAGATATTAAATCATGGTGAGCGTAAACATAGATTTATTTAACATTTTAACGTAAAATAAATATCTCTGGCTGATATATTTTTGATACGGCATCAATCATATCACTTTCCTCACCTGTATCATATTTCGCAAGTGTAAATGCGGCGATTGTGTGATAATACATATTACATATACAATATACACACGAAGCTTGGTGCTGTCAGGAGATGGAATCTTGTAAATGTGGGGAAGTTCTGAAGGATAACTTGGTTTAAGAAGATGTACAACAGCCGCCGTGCTGTTACTGCTGTATCATTCTACACTCGGGATTCAGACCTATTTGCTTGGAAAAATGGGCTCTAAGAAAACTTGATCACAGATAAACACTGTAGCCTCAAACAAGAATATATACGTAATTTGCTCTGAACCAGTCGGTTTATATTTTCTTTGATCTCGTGTCTTGTATTTTCTTGCGAAGGTGAGGGAAGTGTACATGGTTTAAACTCTTTGATGTGACTGATGCCGTATGAGCCCGTATCCCGCAAAATATATATTAGTCAGAGATACTTATTTTACGTTAAAATGTTAAAATAAATCTTTGTTTACACTCCCCATAATTTAATATCTTCAAGGTCATCTAATCTTCGCTGTAGCATCTAGTTTTGTTGCTTGTGTTCTGCTGATTTTTTTAGATATCGTGCGTACCATTCTTCGCCTGCTAGCGGTTCATCGGCATAAAGGCATGCATCATAATCGCCTAAAATTTCGCTATCAACTGCTTCTAGAGTTCCGATTTTGTGACTAGTATCATTTCATTCATCCTCTATAATATATCCAGGAATATAACTGTATTCTGAGTCACATTGAGAACTATGAGTGATTTCCGAATCCGACCTACTGTCTGACATGCTGGAAAATATATCAAATGTATAATGCGCGTCGAAATTAAGTCCCTTAAGCTACGTCACACCACGCTCGTCCCAGACTCTTGTTGATACGCGACAATTTTACGAAAATCGCTGCTTAGAGCCTCGTATCTCGCGAATAAAAATAGAAAACCGAAAAATGTTAAAGAACCTATTAACTAACTTTTTGTCCTCTACCAAATATCAAAAAAAAGTTTTTGTGACATAAGCACTTTAAAACTCATTGGCCGTTTTTATACTAGAGACGCATTATACGTCTGGACGCATAATCCGTCTTCTACATTATTCGTCTAGTATAAAGACGGGACGAATAATACTAGACGAATAATGTAGAAGACGGATTATGCGTCCAGACGCATAATGCGTCTCTAGTATAAAAGCGGCCAATGCGACGAACTATCAACATTTATTGTTCGTCTGGTTATGCGTCCTCAGTATAAAGACGGGCACAAGACGCATTATGCGTCTAGACGAACTATCATCGGTTGTGCGTTTCTTAATACGAAGAATCGAACATAGTTCGTCTAGACGCATAATGCGTCTTGTGCCTGTCTTTATACTAAGGACGCATAACCAGACGAACAACGAATGCTTGCCCAAGTTCGTCCAGACGCATAATGCCTCCCTAGTATAAAAACGGTCATTATGTGATGTGATGTCACACCGGTGATATTTGCATATGAAACAAAGTTGAAAATCTTGAAAAGAGAGCAAGATACCAAAATTCTATAAAAGAAATTATTAAGTCATTTTAAGTGATCTTCACAATACAACCATAAACCTTTGGGGTGAAATTTCGTGTCATAGGCACTTTAAAAATTACGGGAACCACTGAGTATTTTAATAAAATATAAAACAACGGTAACTCCGAAAATAAACATTTTAATATTCAAAATGAATTTTGAATATTAAAATGTTTATTTTCGCACACCAACTGACCTCCGGTAAACAGAGGTCAAAACTCAATCTTGGATTGAGTTTTTAAACTGAATCTTTCCCCCAACGAAAAGAAAAAGCAACAAAAAATCATTTTCACTCGCTTACTGCCGATGCAATGGAAGTGTTGATAAAATATTGTACCAATTCCTTTCCTCAAGTTGATCAATTCATTTGATAGAAAATTGATCAACTTCCTGTTACTTTTAGATGATCGAATTAGATTTCATTAGATTTCGTTTCAGAACCGATTGACCAATAGGAAACGCACAGGAAGTAAAAAGAAATTTGAATTCGTATGAATTGACCAACTTGAGGAAATGAATTGATGCAATATTTTATCAACACTTTCGTTGCATCCACAGTAATAGTTTTTGGAATTCCGAGAAACAGGGTTATTTGAGCTGGGGTTTTTCAAAATAAAACGACATGTTTATGTTATAAAGCTAGCTACCTCTATCGTATATTTTGTGTCTTGTGCCCACCATGCTTAGATGGCATGCATGCTTGGATGATAAAAATTTCGATCAAATCAGCACAAAATGAAATGGGGATGATTGAAGAATAACGAATATTACAAATAGATAGTACATTTTTCGAACTAAAATCTAACATTTACACAACCTTGAGCTGGAAGAGTGAAAAAGCCGCAGAAAAAATACGCTCGAATAAGAGTACATCGATGCATGGCCTCTTTGGTCGATGCATGGCCTCTTCCGCAATGTTTACATAAGATTACATCATTCACAAACCACGCGGTTACAATAGGGAGTTTAAGCTTCACGTTTCCGGGAATGCCAAACGGCAGGTAACTCTTGTCTCAGAGTTACTGCTGAGGGAGCCAATCAGAATGCTTAAAGGCCATTTTTCAATACTGAAATTATTCTAATAAGTAATAGAGTGGTTTTCGTACCATTTTGAATAGAATTTTTAAAGTTTATAAAATTTTGATAATCTTTGAAAAACTCACTCGTAACTTAAAGTGGGTAGTATTTTGCACATGTCAAATAATTCAGCTCCTTTTACAGTGTTGTACGAGACATGACATGATCAACTTACTTGGGTGAACGAGTTCTTTGTGAAATTTTCTCAGTTTTTCAACACAGCGTTGTTTAGCTTCAATATGATCTAACATTCTGTCTGGATAGTCTGCACCAATAGTACAGTTTGCTTTCTCTTGAATATCATACGGAGCAGTCCACGGTTCATGGATATACTTTTCAGGAAAATCACGAAGTGCTGGCACATATTTTCTAAAAAATATCGATGTCTATGTATCTTACCTCGGATTATAATTTGTCCTCATCGAAATAGGTCCAGAGAGAAAGTTGGGGTGGGACAACTGACAACTTAGAGTACGTACTGCACATAGGTACTGGCTAAGTGATGTCTACCTGCATCCGTGTGTTGAATAAGTTAACATTTTACGCTAAGAAGCACCTTACTTGTAGATATCAAACTCTATTCACTTTACAGTATGCATGAATTTTGGGTATGTGAAAATTGGATAAGATACGAAAACCTCGTCCGGTAAGAATACAAGTGGAGTATGTTTTAACATTTCTTCTGGTTACAAGGCATTTTATCTTCATACAGAAAAGCACACTATAGATAATATTCACCGTCTCGTTCCTTATTTACCTGATAAGTGTTCCATGTCCATCCAAGCGTTTGGCCTCCTCAACTGGACAGTATGAAACGAAATTATGGTTGAAAAAAGAACTCCCAGAAGCACACAACCAACTGCCAGAGTTTATACTTCTCTCAGCATCCAGGCAATATTCTTCGAAAAACTACAGTGAAAACAAAAAATAGATTATGCAGTGCACACTGTCGCATTCTAACTGCTCATATAGCGACTTAGTTAGCCTTTTTCGCGCCATTTGACCAGGTCTTGTTCGCCAATGTTGGGGCCAAGTAGGGGACAACAAGCGAAGGAGTGAAAATATTGACGGAAGTAAAAACACAAATCACAATGCTATATTTTTACACTGCAAAAAGTCTTTTGAGTATTTTGAATCGAAAACCTGAATAAAATAATGCACCCTGCACGGTGACTCAAAATTTGGAGTAAAACTCTCAGAGTTATGAGCAACTTTACTCAAATTAGTTTTGAGTGAAGTTTCAAATTTGCTCAATTTTTTGAGTAGTGATTTATTTTACTAAAAAAATGAGTAAACTTGTTCATAAATTTGAGTAATTTAATTTTACTCACTATTTTGGGTCACTGTGCATGGGTGCATTATTTTACTCAAACATTTTTTGCAGTGTATAAGTATACTGTTTAATATTTACTTCACTACATTTCTCCTTAGCTTATTGAGCAACGTTTGAAACTCACGTAAGACTTTTAATCATTCGTTTCTTTTGTGATATATGATCAATTTCATAGTGTTGATAGCCGTCGTCCTTGTGTTTGTATCCTCCGCCCTATTAAACGTTTTGGGAAGTTTGGTGAACCGCATAATGCACAATGTGTCACTATGAAGATGACCAAACACGGGCTGTTTTTCACCGTCTCTAATTGTCTTTCCCGTCTGTTTTGCATGTTTAGGGACCGGTCATTATTTATGGCAGGGGTGGGGGCCGAAGAGAAAATGGTGGGGTAACTGAAAAATAATAGTTCCTTTAGGTGGGGTGGCCAAAAAATCCTTGCATGCAGAGGTGGGGTAAAAAAAAATAACGTTACTTTAATCACACACAATACAATATATACTACTATCAGAGTTTAATATGTGATTATTCTAATTTTTTAATAAAATATTATTGCTTTCCAAAATGTTGACAGAAACACCCCCCTCAACCCACCCGTAAAGGGTCATTTTATATTCATTTACACACAAAATCTCCAATTACCAGACAAATATATACTGCCTATATATAGGGGCTGTTTATATGGTGCAACTGCAAGCCATCCCCAGGGTACCCAAGCTGGCCCAGTTTTGGCAAGATCCTGCCTTTGTTGTTATTTCTTACTAAAGTTCACCTTGTGTATATATGGGTAAAGAGCGGGCCCAGCTATAGCTAAGCGAGATCCCGCCCCTTTAGCCCGAGATCTTGCTTCAGGAAAAGTGACCTTAAGTCTGTAGCCCCTAACCCCGGGCATCCAGCCTCACCCCCATATAAACATCCTCTTATTACATATCTCAAAAAGTATATGTACAGTCTATTAAATTTTCAGGATTTAATTTTTGGGCATCTACACTTGATACTGCATAACTAATATTTATATCCAGTATGTGCTTGTAAACCATGTGGACAATTCAGGTAGCAAATCATGAAATATGCCCCATGCCCCTTGTGAATCTGGAGAATCATTCCAATGGCTAGTTCACAATATGTTCAACTCTAGCCTTTGGCAACTAGCTGTTTTTCTTTACTAGCAGATCATGTATACATGGATAAAATAAGAGAAATCTATTTACCCGTTTTACAGATTAATTTAATTGTTTATATAATCATACTTGGAATTCGGATGAATATCTTTATCTTCACACTGTATAACAGCAACTTTTTCTCATTAATTTACAGTAACTTTCTAAATTCAGATATTCTCACATGGGACAAATACTTTAGTATCGTTGTATTGTTTACGAATTAAAATATTAAATTGATTTCATAAACTTCAAGAATTCCTTGGGAATTCTAAAGGAATTCCTTTAAAATTCCGTGATAATACATGTGATTGTCTATAGTAAGGAAATATTAAAGGAATTTCAGAGGAAATTTTAGAATTTAGATAGTTGCAATCATGGGTGAGCACATATTTTGTGAAACTGTTTCAAAATAAAATTGCATTTTAATTAATAAAGAAATGCAAGAATGTGAAAGAAACCAAATTATATACAGTGAAACTTTAAAGTGGGAAAGAGATAGGGTGGTGAAATACGGTTAGTGTTCTAAAATATTGAAGCATATGGTTAATATATGTTTATGGGACTAGCATTTGCACTATCTCGTGAAAAGGGAATATAGCGTTGAATACAAACTATAAAAACCCATTCATATTTCAATTTTACAAGTAGACAAATTTTAAGCCTTCAGATAACTATAATTCTTTATATAGTACCTTGCTATTGTAGGGGTAACCCATAATATAAAGGCATGACTGTTAGTGTGCTTAATTAATTACTCCACAAGAAATAAGGGGCAAGGGATATTGGTAAACAAGTATTACCAATCAATCCTATTCCCTTTTAATTATAATGTCCACTGTGGTCAAAGCACCCTATAATAATTATTATTTACTCTCTAACAGCAGATGATCTTACTCATCAAGGGCAATTTTGTACCTTGATGAGTAATACGCATACAAAATACTAAACTGTTTCATTACATATTTTATGTCTGAACCTTTGACATTGCAACAAAATAGGTTTGGGTGGGGTAAAAAAAATTTCTGGCATTCCACCGGTGGGGTAGCTAGAAATTTTGTTTCGAAAAAGGTGGGGTAATGATTTTTTCCGGCTTCATTATACTTTCTCTTCGGCCCCCACCCCTGCCATAAATAATGACCGGTCCTTTATTGGATTCGGCTTTCGCATGACATCAAGAATTATTCATACCTCGGTCAATGTTATCCGCCTCAGCTTCGCTTCGGCAGATAACATTGACCTCGGTCTGAATAATTCTTGATATCATGCTCAGCCTCATTCAATAATTGTTTATTGTTGCAAAAGCTTAGTGGAATTCACAAGTTTAAAGCTTTAAAAGTTGTCAAATGCCTAGCAACAGTTGTCGTGGAGGTAAAAATTTCAGGATAATCCGGTTTTCTCCGGTTAAATTAAAGGTTATCCTACGGGTAATTAAACTCGGTACCACAGAGTAAAGACACACAGAAGGTCGACTCAGTCAAAAAAGCGTAACTGCTGCTACGCCATGATTTACAATGATTCGTCATCAAAATGCTGACGCCATGATCCTAGTCAGTGCGCTATGAGAGGCATTACCCCCCCCCCCTGAACGTCCACCATTTTTATTATTAGTGAGCCGAAAATTAGTATAACTAATATTGGCGGCATTTTGCATCATAGCGCTCATGTAGGGAAACAAAAAACTAAACAAACACAGTTTTTAATCTAGTCCCCCTCGGTAATCTGACGTCCATGTTGACAAACGTCGCTTGATTAAACTTCCTATTATCAGGGGGTGAATGTCTCTCATAAGCGCACTGGCTAGGAACATGGCGTCAGCATTTTGATGACGAATTACGGTTACGCCAAAATCAACAATTACTGAAAAACCAAGAAGTCGCGCGGTACTAAACGGGCCGTACTAAATTTTATCGGCCGGGTAACTTACCGTCGGAAATTAAAGGGAGTTTATACGCCGGATAGCGGCTAAACACCGTTTATGTTAAATGCCTTTCGAACAACCAGTCCCTGTACTGCAAGTTTGATAAAGAGGCGTACATTACTCTTGAAAGTCCACTATTTTGCAAGTCTATATGCATGTGCAGCCTTGTTTTTGTAAAAGTGAGAGTGTCATGCTTTTTCCTCCTACAAATAAAGCCAGTTTTATCTTTTGGATTCTGCCATGTGGTAATTTCATCATTTTCAATCATAATCTTCCACTCGACTCCTTTTAGAGATGTATTGCATATCAAGGCTCCACTTTCGGCACTTAGTACAGTCTTCAGTCCCCAGCAATGCAAATAAAGTTTCTGCACAGTTTCGATGGAAACTTTGCTGTGCGGTGTGCTTATTGACGTGAAATTTATGGTTTATTAAATTTCTGGGATTCATTGCTTGTTTAAGCGTTTAAAATGATTTAATAATTTATATTTTTAATAGAGCGAATGCCATTTTCCTATACAGGTTACTATACACAAATTTGAGGCTTATTCTATTTCGATTACGTTACCGGAACGGAATCCAACAATATTGTTCCTGTCGTAAATATACAAAAAACTGTTGTACAGTGTTTATAGACATTTATTTATTCTAATGGTAGACTGAGAAAATTCTTGATTTCTCTGGAAGTGTTTGAACCCGTCTCAAACGGCATACTTTCCATGTGCCAAACTGAATTGACGAATTAGGTACGACAGAAGAGCGACGTATGGATCGGTTAGGTACGCCAGAATTTGAAGCGACAAAAGTTCGACACCAGTTCGGCGGAGCCTGCGTATCGCATTATACGACGTTGGAGTGACCGCTTCAATCATGTGCCAAACATACCCCAACCTTTTCAATAATATTATGTACCGGTACACCTTTCAAGAGTCTGGAATTAAAGTAATGCAAGTTTTGAAAAATAATTTGAGGCAACATTATCTGTATTGTACTGTAGTTTATTGATCATGTAAAATACATAGGCATGGTGGAAAACGCGGGTATGGGTACCGGGTATGGGTAGCGGGTACCGGGTAGCGGGTACGTTTTCCGTATTTGGCCAAACAATTTCAAGGCTAAAAGATCCCGGTAAAATCCGTTATGGATTTATGTTGTTAAAATGTCCGAACAATCTTTCTTCCTTCAAAGATAGTTTTAAAGTATGTATAATTCGAATAAAACAGTTTAATTTGAAATACGCTTATTTTAGATATCTTTAGCACATCAATTTGTTGCATTATATTGTATTTTTTTCTAGTTGCGCGGTTACTTTGACGGGAAAAGCAAAGAAAACAGCACTGCATTCAGTGAATATTATAGCCACCTTGCTATAGACAAAATGACGTAACGCATAGCGCCAGAGTGGCTGCTACATGTGTTTTCTCACTAGCGCAGGAAGTCTTTATTGCTGCGTGGCAGACAAACCGGCGAGAAAAAATCGGACTTGCAGGCTCGAACTTTTAGTTCGCTCATTCATTAAACCAGTCGTTGGCTTATTCATGAAGATGTCTTTTACTATAAAAAGTTTATAAAATGCAATGCCACGTAGGGAAATCGCCAAAGATTTACCATCATTCAATTATGAAAATGTAGAGTCATAAAGGGAACAGATTGGCCATGGAGCGTACGGAATGGTATGTAAGGGTAAATACAATAGTGAGGTTGTTGTTATTAAAAAGCTTTCGGGAGAATCAGCGAACGAAGAGAATTGTTTTGTGAAAGAAGCAAGATTGATGTTTTCACTGAATCACGAAAACATCGTGACATCGGTACAAAAGATTGTTTTTCTGTTGATTTATAGTTCGTTTTCGACAACTATAAATATGCGTGTAGGCAAATGTTTGTACATTAATTAAACTGCAAGATTAATTCAGCGACGTGTTAACTACGGTCGTATTAATAAACTTTAACAATATAAACTAAACGCTGAATAAACAAAACGCATAAATAAAAGTTCCATCAGTTAAGACTACGCAAGCAAAATCCAAAATTTCCTTCAGTGGTGCAAGTTTATTTAATTCTTTACCTTCCGAATTAAAAGATATTGAAAATCACTCAATTTATTCCTATAAAAAGAAGCTCAAAACCTGCTTTATTCAATTGAATTATGAAGTAGATCACGTTAATAAATTCCGCTGCATCGATTGTAAGCATATTACTCATTGTCAATGTTACTCTCAATAGGATTTTCTTTTTATATATTACTATTAGATATCGAGGGCCATTGGGAAGAATACTATATTAAGTAATCAATGTAATCATTAAATAAAGTTTTATTATTATTATTATTATTAAATTGTAATTAAGCATGCGAGGTTTTTATCAACATGAACGACACGCGTACAAATCCAGGGGCCAGTTGTATCAAAGGCGTTTAGCTTAAACGGTGGATAAGCAAAAATTTAAAAACATTCCTATTCATCTTGTAAATAACTAAACTTAAATTTTATCAACAAAATGTGTAGTTTTAAGCATAGTTGTTATGTTTAGACAGAAAAGTTATGTTTGCTTGTAGTCTATAGTTCATAGATATGATTGATAATTTTGACTTACCGTATTAACTCATTTGAGCGCCGCTCCCGATTGAGCGCCGCCCCCAAATGAGCGCCGCATTTGAGAACAAATTTTTTTAAAGAACGCCGCCCCCGAAAGAGCGCCGCATTAATTATTGTCCTGCGATTGCCTCTTTCAAAGCAACGAATTTACGTCTTCTGATATCGGGGAGACATATCCAACAATGGTTACGATGCAGCAGTTGGACTCGGATCATGAAGAGGACAGTGACATTGATATTTTGTAAACTTGTAAACAGTTTAAAAACTTTCCGCCGTCAAAATGGGGACATTTTGTGACAAAAACATTTAAAACTTGTTTATTTTATTGTTAAAAGTTCTTGTCATAATTTACAAACAAAATATTTTTTTAAAGAGCGTCGCCCCCGATTGAGCGCCGCCCCCAAATGAGCGCCGCATCTGAAGCTCTGAAAATTTAAAGAGCGCCGCGGCGCTCAAACGAGTAAATACGGTATCCACCGTTTCAGCTAAACGCCTTTGATACAACCTATGAGGTGTGATATCCGCCAAAATTCATATATTCAATTATGCCATTGGAAATGCATTTATGAAGTTCAGTTATGCTATTATGATATTCGATATTATGTTATTCGAATTTCATTCGGCGTGAAACAGTCATTATTGAAATTTCATTCGGCGTGAAACAGTCATTCGGCATGGCACTCAGAAACCAAAATTCGACTTCCGGTTCGGCATGGCACTCAGAAACCAAAACTCGACTTCCGGTTTAGCGGGAAATTGTAATTCCACCATGACCGAAGGCGAAGGCAATTTAAGTCAACAAGACAGAAATATAAGTGTTGTAGACGTATTGGAAACAACTGTGTTGAAGAACTTAGACATCGGCGACCAGTATGCCCATACGGCGCAAAAAGATTTCTAAAATTCCCCAACACTCTTTCTGGATTTGATGTATATTTGACGGCAGTGCTGCCAGATGATGTACGTAGTAGCATGCGATTCGCTTTGAGAAATTACATTTGGACTCGCAACTTGTGCTGAAGAAGCATCATTTGATGATCCAGGATATTTTCTGATCAATCCTGTCGCTTCTTGCAACAAAGACACAGCACGCTGTTGATTTAATTGCCTTCGCCTTCGCCCATGTTGAAATTACAACTCCCCGCGTGCTTTTCCCGCTAAATCGGAAGTCGAGTTTTGGTTTCTGAGTGCCATGCCTAATGACTATTTCAATAATGACTGTTTCACGCCGAATGAAATTTCAATAATGACTGTTTCACGCCGAATGAAATTCGAATAACATAATAGCGAATATCATAATAGCATAACTGAACTTCATAAATGCATTTCCAATGGCATAACAACCGGCCTCTGGATTTGTACACCTCATAACAACCGGCCCCTGGATTTGTACGCGTGTCGTTCATGTTGATAAAAACCTCGCATGCTTAATTACAATTTACAATTGTTTGTCCTACGTTCAGCGTTTAGTTTATATTGTTAAAGTTTATTAATACGACCATAGTTAACACGTCGCTGAATTAATCTTGCAGTTTAATGTACAAACATTTGCCTACACGCATATTTATAGTTGTCGAAAACGAACTATAAATCAACAGAAAAACAATCTTTTGTACCGATGTCACGATGTTTTCGTGATTCAGTGAAAACATCAATCTTGCTTCTTTCACAAAACAATTCTCTTCGTTCGCTGATTCTCCCGAAAGCTTTTTAATAACAACAACCTCACTATTGTATTTACCCTTACATACCATTCCGTACGCTCCATGGCCAATCTGTTCCCTTTATGACTCTACATTTTCATAATTGAATCCGATGGTAAATCTTTGGCGATTTCCCTACGTGGCATTGCATTTTTTAAACTTTTTATAGTAAAAGACATCTTCATGAATAAGCCAACGACTGGTTTAATGAATGAGCGAACTAAAAGCGAACTAAAAGTTCGAGCCTGCAAGTCCGATTTTTTCTCGCCGGTTTGTCTGCCACGCAGCATTAAAGACTTCCTGCGCTAGTGAGAAAACACATGTAGCAGCCACGCTGGCGCTATGCGTTACGTCATTTTGTCTATAGCAAGGTGGCTATAATATTCACTGAATGCAGTGCTGTTTTCTTTGCTTTTCGCGTCAAAGTAACCGCGCAACTAGAAAAAAATACAATATACAATATAATGCAACAAATTGATGTGCTAAAGATATCTAAAATAAGCGTATTTCAAATTAAACTGTTTTATTCGAATTATACATACTTTAAAACTATCTTTGAAGGAAGAAAGATTGTTCGGCCATTTTAACAACATAAATCCATAACGGATTTTACCGGGATCTTTTAGCCTTGAAATTGTTTGGCAAAATACAGAAAACGTACCCGGTACCCGCTACCCATACCCGCTACCCATACCCGCGTTTTCCACCATGCCAAATACATACGTGATTAACATATTAAATAATATGTTTTGAAAGCGAAAAGAAGCTAAACACACAGATTTAGTTCAAAGGAAAATTTCCGTTTTGGAATTTTGAAGAAATTTACTTTTTTGATGAAATTTTGATTATGATAATGGAAAATTGTATTTATTCATCTATACTGTAGCTTCTTGAAACTTTGCACTATCCTTATAGGATCTCTGAGTTTTGTATGAACCAACCCTACCTTGCAGTGATTTTGTTTGAAAAAATCTTTCTTTACTTACTTAAATCTTGAACTCTTTTCTAGACATGCAGGTGTTTGGACTGCTGAGGAAGTAACAAAGATGTGTCGCGACAAATTGTTACGACTGAGGTCACTGTATATGTCTCAGTTTGAAAGATTAAAACATGTTTATAAGAACAAGAGAAGGAAGTATCTTCTGGCAACAACTGCAAATGAAGACGATTTAACAGGTGAACCACTTCAACCGTGATTCTTTTGCCTCCAAAGGCAATAGTAAATAGCTAGTAGATATTAATTGTTTTGCTATTTGCGAAACGCGTTAATTATTTTGAAAAGCTTTGTTCCACACGCCCATGCCTTTATATTAGTACAGATACTATTTAAAAAATAGGTACGCTGTAGCGTACATGGCGTCTACTGGATCAAAAACAAATAATGTCAATGCCGTTCGGTTTATATTCACATTTCCGACTTTGGAGTGGGGAAAATTAAAATATCTGGGCAAATATTTACTCGCCCTTTAAAACGAAAACCACCGTTGAAATCCTCATAGGTATATGCCTAGCATGGGTACTACCCAGGGTCTTAGCTAGAGGGCCGTGTTGGCCGTGTTATCGCGGGCAAAAATGGAAAAACACGGCTAGATAAAATGAACGCGGCTTCATTATTTATATAAGGCCGTGTAGGTTAATAACATAAGGTGTTGCTACTTACAACAGACAGAATTTCTTTCTATTTACGTCGTAAGAAAGTTTGTAAAATCTATTGTAATTTTTGAAATTGGCAAAAGTGATCCGTGATGTTTTAATGTTTTGATGGATAATGGGAACCATATGGTGTTAAAATGGCTTTAAATACCCCCAAGGGTTGCTAAAATAACTTACTATTTCCATGTCAGTATGCGATGTGAGCGTATGCTCGCCTTGTATTTGGTTGCAAAGCATACAACAACCACATGCATTGTCTGTTGTTGGCGAGCATAACTAATACCGTGAATTTGGCCATTCAAGGTAATTGACATGGGCACACCCTGGTAATTTAGAAACACGCCCAAGATCTAAAATCCTAGCTAAGACCCTGGTGTGTTGCAAGAATTTACAGATAATATTTACAAAATTACATAAGATATATTGCATTAAATAAGATTAAAGATATTAACTATTATACAGAAATCTATATTCAGCTTCCGAAAGGGCAGAATAATAAAATAACAATTAAAAGAAATATTGATGTGGCAACAAAAAATTATGCCTGCGAGGACGAGAAGCTACTATTTTTTACTTGGCCTTACAGGTACTTCGAATATCAATCAATGTCAGAAAGGGATTTGCTCTCCCTAACAGCCTAACTTGTTTTGGAATAGAATTCCAAAGGAGTGCTCCATCATAAATGAAAATTTTTATAATATTTGTATGCGATTGTGGCAGTGTTGTAACAGGTCGAGTCCCGAGTCAATGACTTGACTTGTTACAACACTGGATTGTGGTAAACAAAGACTGTTTGAAATATCACAGAGATGAAAATTTGTTTTCCCTTAAGTACCTTACTTTAATTGTTATTTTTACTCTGTCAAATGTTCAACTGTTATTATGTCCAGTGTTCTCCGAATGGCAGGTTCGACAAATCCAATACTGGGCGAACTTCAACCATCTCTTCTTCTGCTAATGCTCCACGGAGAGCAGATTCTACTTCTTTCCTTTCAAGAAAGCAGTTCAACAACACTAAAAGATTGATAAGAACTATAATTAGCATCTTGAAATGTATGAGAATTGCATTGACAAGTGGTCATCTGGTTGGCTGTATTTGGCTATAGATTTTCCATATAGGTTTAATAAAGTCCATTATTTTGATAGAAAAAATGTAAACAAAGCTTTCGCGAACAAATAGACTGGACCACTTCTTTAAGCTTAAGCATTAAGATTATAGTATAATTATACATTAAAACCTTCAATTTACCTCTTTCTTTTTCGGTAGGTGACTTTTTAATGAATGGTATTGCACCTGTAACCTTTCTCTTTTTGGGAAGACCAATGACAGTCAAACCAGCACCTTTAGGCCGCCCTCTCTTCAACATTCTTGGCGGCATTGTAATTGGGGTCTGGGTGTCTTTTTTCTTGTCTTCTATAAAAATAAATCAAAGACTGAGTATGGGATACTTATAAGTTATTCTATACATGGCAAAATTAATGCGATCTGATTCGCTAAGAGGAGTGCAATAAATCATTAATTGCACTCTACAGGAAAACAAAACAATAACATTCCAATTATGGTGGTGAAATTTCTTTCGTAAAATATATTTCGTGTTATATTGATCCCTGCTAATAACATGATATATACCACAATGTTTTTCAGTATACCTTCAGAGCTTGATTTATTTGAGGATTTCTTCTGGTGCAACTTGTTCCCATTGTCTTCATCATGAGGGAGCACTGTGGGACTTTCCTGGACCAGAACACAGTCTGTTTGTGTGCATACACTTACACATTCTACATAAGAGAACATTTAGAAATCACAATGGAGTTAGGGCGGGCCATAATATAAATCTATGGTTGGTTGGTTGGTTGTTTGGTTGGTCACTAGGTTATTTACTGTCAAATGAAATACAGTAATACAGTCCAGATATATAAAATTACAAACAAATGAAATTATACATGCTAGTGACCAACCTTGTTGGGCAGCATCATCTTTTAGCGCAATTCTCCTTCCGGCAGCTAGTTGTGTTTGTAATCTTTTCAATGTTTCCATGTTAGCGAGGAAATCGTCAGTTCCAAAATGTGACATTTGCTCGGCAACACCTTGCAAAGTTTTGAAAGTAGGGATGAACCGATTAATCGGTAAATATTCGGCCGTTTTTTAAATAATCGGTAATTGGCCGATTTTTTAAATAATCGGTAATTGGCCAAGACTTTTTCTGCAGCTGCCAAGCACATGCTAAAATACTGCCGGAATACAAGCGAATAGATTTTCACATTTTGTTGCAAAACCTGTGTCTTTTGTCTCGAGCGAAGTGAAGCTGGGAACATTTCCACTGAAAAACGCAGCAGACTAGCTCCGCATACCCGAAATATCCTGTTTTTACACCATAGTCTGCCAAAACTAAACTTTGACTATTGACATGCACGATTGAAGCTGTTTTCAATTGTACATAATGTGTATTGTAAACATTAAAACCGCATTTACAACTTCATTGTTGGTCATCTTGCGATTTTTTGCTTGCTTTTTAAAATAATCGGCGGGTACCGATTAATCGGTCGATTAGTTACGATAATCGGCTTATAAATAATCCGCCTCAGTAATCGGCAATTTTCCTTATCGGCTCATCCCTACTTGAAAGCCTCTCTATATTTCTCTTGCTCTGTCATGGTACGTTTATTGCAGCTCTTCAAAACTGATACAATAGCTCCAACAATGAGTGATCTTCAGACAAAGGATTTCCTGTGGAGGGGTTGAGTACTCTATGACTTTTCTTGTAGTGTCTAATTTGCCATCTGTCAGCACACAAAGTCTCATCATATAAGCTTTTGCCAGCATGTTTCTTACTTGCAATGATATGCCTACAGGGCAGTTTCATTGAAGTGAAAAATGTACATTTACAATTATTTTCTGCAAGTTCAGTTTCAGTTTGGCCAATTTTGATACGCACACTGCCACCGTCCAGCATCAATACCTCAGCCTGTTCTGCTTTGTCAAGTTCCTTCTTCACATATGAATAGGAAAATGGTGTAAGCAGTTTTCCATACTCTTTGTGGGACTCTGTCCGATAACTGGTAAGTGGAGTTTTGCAAATTGTGTTTACAGCTCTCTGATTTTGCTCTGTTTTTAATGAAGCAATGCACTTCATTAGATCTTGGAAGAATGATACCATGTCAGAGTACCGAGTAACCACACTTTTCAGTTTCGCATTTATACTTTCCAAACGGTTGTTTGTTCTATTTAGAAAGTTACAAGAGCCTGATTTT